TTGTAGAGGGCCCCCCCCCCGGCCCCCTGGTCCAAAACAGTCTAGGGGCACCTTTAAGACCAAGTTTTATTCAGGTACAAGCTCTCCCTCCTCTGCGAGGGCAGATCTGCACATTCCCCTGCCCCCCAATAGCTAGCAATCCAAAACAGTCCAGTGGCACCTTTAAGACCAAGTTTTATTCAGGTACAAGCTCTCCCTCCTCTGCAAGGACAGATCTGCATGTTCCCCCAGCCCCCAATAGCTAGCAATCCAAAACAGTCCAGTGGCACCTTTAAGACCAAGTTTTATTCAGGTACAAGCTCTCCCTCCTCTGCGAGGACAGATGTGCACGTCCCCCCCCCAATAGCTAGCAATCCAAAACAGTCCAGTGGAGCCTGAGCGGTGGGTGTTGCCTTCTGACACACTTCCGCTGATGTCAGGGGGTGTGGCGTATGCAAATGAGTTATGCTAATGAGCTCCTGCACCTCTTTTTCTACGAAATGACCCCTGATGGCTACCCTCCTGAAACTTCCCTCATGGAGGACTTGGGAAAGGTAATCCAGGAGAAGAGGGCCCTCAGATACTGCGAACTCGAACCCTTAGAGCTTTCCAGGCCTGCGTTTCTGCTCACCCAGTTTCTTATGGCTCAAACCAACTGACCTGTGGAGAGATCGATGTAATAGGTATTCTGCTCTCCACTCGGCAGCAGGATGTTGAACTGGTAGCAAGCTCGGATTTGGTTCACTAAGGACTCGGACAGGTGTTCATCCACGCTTAGCAGGAACTCCTCGGGATCGAAGTGCTTCCGGATGTCCTGGACCATGGTCCTGTTGATAGGGGCAGTTTCGCTCTGTACCTCCACACGTTCCACTGGGGGGGGGGAGATAAAAACGTTTTAAGGAGCCAGAGGAAGGAAGAACAACAACAAAACCCCTCAAAGAAACATTTGAAGGCAGCCTGATCTTGACGGATTCCCTGGTCTGAGGGGCATAAACAATCAGGAGTCAGGGGCCTGTCGAATCCAGAGTCTCCTGGAAACAGTGATTCCCAGGCTTGAGGGGCATAAACAATTAGGAATGTTTGACAGTGTTGAATTCGGGGACTCCAGGGACTCCTGGAAAAAGTGATTCCCCAATTTGAGGGCACAAACAATCAGGAATCAGGGATTTTGTTGAATCCAGAGTCTCCTGGAAACAGCGACCCCCAGGTTTGAGGGACATAAACAGTCAGGAATCTTTGACAGTGTTGAATTCAGGGACTTCAGGGACTCCTGGAAAGAGTGATTCCCAGATTTGAGGGCATAGGAATCAGGGATTTTGTTGAATTTAGAGTCTCCTGGAAACAGTGATTCCCAGGTTTGAGGGACATAAACAATAAGGAATCTTTGACAGTGTTGAATTCAGGGACTCCTGGAAAGAATGATTCCCCAATTTGAGGGCATAAACAATCAGGAATCAGGGATTTTGTTGAATCCAGAGTCTCCTGGAAACAGTGATTCGTAGGCTTGAGGGGCATAAACAATCAGGAATCTTTGACAGTGTTGAATTCAGGGACTCCTGGGGAAAGTGATTCCCAGCTTTGATGGCATAAACAATCAGGAATCAGGGATTTTGTTGAATTCAGAGTCTCCTGGAAACAGTGATTCCCAGGCTTGAGGGGCATAAACAATCAGGAATCTTTAACTCTATTGAATCCGGGGACTCCTGAAAAGAGCGATCCCCCAATTTGAGGGCATAAACAATCAGGGATATTGTTGAATCCAGAGTCTCCTGGAAACAGCGATTTCCAGGTTGGAGGGCCTTAATCAATCAGGAGTGTTTGACATAGTTGAATTTAGGGACTCCTGGAAACGATGATTCCCAGGTTTAAGGGGATAAGCAATCAGTAATCCGGGAGTCGACTTTGTGGAATTCAGAGACTCCTGGAAATAGTGATTCTCCGGTTGGAGAGGCACAAACAATCAGGAATTGAGGACTTTGTTGCATTCAGGGACTTCTGGCAAAAGCAACCAACGTCACATTCTATTCATTGCTTTCTTTCAACTGTGTGATGTTCTCTTACCCGACCTATGAAACTACATTATACGAAGTCCCAAGTCACATTGTTTACTCTTCCTGGTGACTGGTTTACTCTTCCTCTTCATCTCTCCTGAGCTCCTTTTAACTGGGGACTGAACTGTTCCATGTGCAAAATATGCGCTCGGCTGTTGAGCTACGGCCGATCCCTTTGAGCCAAAACCATGCGAAACTGTCCATATCGTATTTAACCCGCCCCTTCCTAAAAGAAGAGGAGGGCAGCAGATGCCATTCTCCCTTCCTCAATTTGGTCCTCACTACAACCCTGCAAGGTAGGCTCAGCTGAGAGACAGCAACCAGCCCAGGGTCGAACTGGTGTGTTTTGTGGCATAGTGGGGGATTTGAATGCTGTTCTCCTCAGTCACAGTATCTTCCACACTGGCCATCCATCCCGATGCCCCCTGAGATGACGAAACCCAGGTGGCGGACGGAGGAATTTACCTTGTGCTCGGATCTCATCATGGCCAGAGACAACTACCTGCTTTCTTTCTCCCCAAAGTGAACATGAGGTGGCACCGCGTGAGGAAAGGGAAGTAGTTTCTTCGCGTACCACAGTATTAACTTCTGGAACAGAGTGTGACAAGATAGGACAAGGCTCACGGATACAGGCAACTGTAAGAAAAGGATTAGGCCGGAGGTCCCCAACCTTTCCCCGCCTGTGGGCACCTTTGGAAGTCTGACATAGTGTGGTGGGCACAGCTACAGAATGGTAGCCACAACATGGCTGCCGCAGGAGGCGGAGCCAGCCACAACATGGCTGCCGCAGGAGGCGGAGCCAGCCACAACATGGCTGCCGCAGGACGCAGAGCCAGCCCCAAAATGGCTGCCGCAGGACGCAGAGCCAGCCCCAAAATGGCTGCCCCAGTTTGCCACCAACCACACAGTGAAGATCCTTGTGTAGCGGAGGCAGCTGCTGCTGAAGCAACATTGTTTTCAAAATCTGCCAATCAAATCTCCAATGGCCAGTCAGAAGCCTTGCTTGGCAAAAGCCCCACCTGGCCCCAGGACACCTGATTTAGAAGCTAATCTAGGCACTTCAAGCAGTAAATGAGCAAACATGGGGAAGAGGAGCTTCTGTTTTGCCACACTGACGAGTAGCCAAATTCATGGGGTCTAAATAGCTAAGAGAGCTTCCACTGTCAGGGGAAGTCTACCTCAGTTCACTCACTACCAGGGACACAGGGTTTCTTATTTCTTTTTTGGTCAGGCTTGGGTTATCGACAGATGATCACCTGTATCGAGAGGTCCCTTGGGGCTGGTCCCTGCTGTGCCTAAGCTCTTGCCAAAGATGTGAAGGGCCAGCTGCTGAATGGTGTTATCCAGCCCTTGCATCCCAGTGACGGAGTTCATCCTGTGGGTAGCTCCCGCCACCGTCTCCGGGGGGACCTGCAGCACAGCCTCCAATATCAGTTCCACTCGGTCCACCTCAAGGCCCCACGTCTTGGTGACGTCATTGATTTCCAGCTAGAAACGAGGAAGGACAAAACAAGCACAATAGACAGACTGCCCCAAGTATTGGTTGTTTGGGTCTTCTCAATGATGCGCGGAAGCGGTCGGTTCTCAGAACTGTTGCTTCGGCTGGCAAGAAGTGATTAACTTGCAGCAGCTGCGGACTGTCATCTAAAGCAGTTGACAACTTGCAATTCAGAGGTCTGCCCTGGCAACAGCTTTCTATTGGCTCAATGGCTTTTCCTTCTGCACTGAGAACTTCAGGCCCACGAGGGGGAAAAATTTGCCCCACAAGCCACAAAACCCTGGCTGCAGGCTTGTCATCAGCCCATAATGGCTTGGATACTGATAGGGGTATTTTCACCAGTTCCTCACTCCCACTGGAGACCTCTGACTTCCCCCTCATTCTACTCCTGAGGGTCCACTGTGCCCAAGGAGCAGGAATTTGGGGGTCTTTTGGGGGGCTGCAGCGGGAGGGTGCAGTTGAGGTCCCTTCTGTGAGCAGAGATTTACCATGGGATCCAAGCCAATACTTTGTACCACCGTCGTCAATGGATAAAACAGGGTCCCAACCCATGCTCCCTCTAAGCTGTGGCCAAGTGTGAGCAAAAATTCTACTTTGTGAGCTACTGGCATTAAACGTTGTGAGGGAGCAACGTGGCTGCTGCATGGATTAGTTTGCTCCGGGGCCATCCTTCCTGAGCCGAGACAAAGATGCGTGAGCTGGAGGCTAAAAAACTGTGAACAAGCGCACACTGACTCAGCTTAGAGGGAACACTGGTCCCAACTCCCAACCATACTTTTATATGAAATCGTCTTCCGTCTCTTGGGGGTGGGATGGGGACACAGCAGACTGGGCAGGAAGCGATGCCCTTGTTGAGGTCCCTTTTCCCAGGATCACCCCTGCTGTGGTAAAATATCACTGCTGGTTTGTCGAAGAGCACCGCTCAAACCAGCTCATAGAATCATAGAGTTGGAAGGGACCTCCAGGGTCATCTAGTCCAGCCCCCTGCACAATGCAGGAAATTCACAAATACCTCCCCCCCACACCCCCAGTAACCCCTGCTCCATGTCCAGAAGCTATCAAAAAAACAAACAAAAAACCCTCCAGGATCCCCGGCCAAACTGACCTGGATAAAACCCCAAAGTGGCGATTGGCCTTTCCCTGGGCATGTAAGAAAGGGCCACGAGAACTAAGCACTGAGGCAACCCTTCCTGCCCTCTCTCCCATGATCTTCCTGAGTTCACCGAATCAGCATTGCTGTCAGATGGCCATCTAGCATCTGCTTGAAAACCTCCAAAGAAGGAGAGCCCACGACCTCCCGAGGGAGCCCGTTCCGCTGAGGAACTGCACTAACTGTCAGGAGGTTCCTCCTAATGTTGAACATCAGGAGGAACTTCCTGACAGAGTGGTTCCTCAACCCAGGGGCCACTGCTATTTCCAGTGGCCCCCCCCCCAAAAAAGGCAGAAGCGGGGCTATTTTGGGGCAGGAACGCACAGGAACGGAGTTCCGGCTGGCTCCCAAGTTGGCCACGCCCAGGAGGAACTCATTAGCATAATAGGCCACACCCAACAGCAGAAACGCATTCGGATTGGCGACATTAGGGGTGTGTGGCCTAACATGCAAAGGAGTTCCTGCTACAAAAAAGGTCCTGGGTTTTGACCACAAACAAGGTCAACAGAATAAGAAGGGAAAGGTGGGTGTGGCTGGATGACCACAGTTCTGTTAACATAGGTGTGTGGCCTAATATGCTAATGAGCTGTGCTGTCAGGGCTGTGGACTAATATGCTAATGAGTTTCTGGTGTTGGGTGTGGCCCATTATGCTAATGAGTTCCTGCTGGGCTTTTTCTACAAAAAAAGCCCTGGGCAGAAGGCGGGATCCGATGTCTCGGCGACAACCCGGGGGTTTACCAAGAGCTGGTCGCTGATCCGCAGCTTCTCCGTTTGGATCTCCCGCAGGTACTTCTTCAGCAGAATCTTGGTCATGACGTTCTGAGCGGTCATCCGTGTCGCCATGTTGAGGTCTTTCACGGTCATGACGGAAAGCACCGGATCACAAACGCGGAACTGGACATCGGCTCCGACGGACACCAGCGCTCCGTCTTGCGAGGTCAGCTGCAGAGACCGAAAGAACGAATGCCGAACTGTCGATCACACATTTCGGGTGGAAGCCAGCGCGGGGTACTGCTTAGAGTCTTGGACTAGGGCAGTGTTGGCGAACCTTTTAGAGACCGAGTGCCCAAACTGTGACCCAAAACCCACTTATTGATCGCAAAGTGCCAACACGGCCATTTAACCTGAATACTGAGGTTTTACTTTAGAAAAAACGACTCATACATTAACTTAAGATGATCCAAACAAAGTAAGGAAAGCAATCCCAAATGCTTTCATTTACTTAAAATTATTTGGCAGAGAATTCGACACTTTAATGACGGTCTGGGCCTGGCTGGGGCGATGGCACGCGTGCCCACAGAGAGGGCTCTGAGTGCCACCTCTGGCACCCGTGCCATAGGTTCGCCACCACTGGGCTAGGATCTGGGAAACCCGGTTGCAAATTTGGGTTTAAATTCCCCCCTCTGCTGGGTGAACTTGGGCCGGCTGCATTCATTCGACCATTTAGAAGAGAGATGACAAAGTTGGGGGGGGGGGGCGATGATAGAAGGTTATACAACTACGCGGGTGTACAGAGTGGACAAAGAGAACTTTTTCTCCCTCTCCCCGAATACTAGAACTCGAGGGCTTCCAATGAAGCTGATATGCAGTAAGTTCCGGACGGACAAAAGGAAATATTGCTTTACTCAGAGAGTGACGAAAATGTGGGATTCGCTGCCAGAGGATGTTGTGACGACCACAGGAATAAGCAGCTTTCAAAGGGGATTAGAGAGGTTCATGGAGGAGAAGTCTATCGATGGCTACCAGCCACGGTGACTGAGGGGAACTTCCACATTCAGAGGCACTAAATCTTCTGAATCGCAGAGCCAGGAAGCAACATCAGGGGAAGGTCTCGGCCTGTTGTTGGCCTTACAGAGGAACTGGCTGGCCACTGGGTGAGACGGGAGGCTGATGGACCACTGGTCTGACAACAAAGTCAAACCTGTTTAAGTACACAAGAACATAAGAACATAAGAACATAAGAGAGGCCAATGTTGGATCAGGCCTAGGGCTGCCAAATGCAGCCGGGGGGCGGGGAATCCCCCGTTTCGGAGCCCCGATTCCCGGCGCACCGGAATCGGGGCCCGGGGAAAACCCCACCCCCACGTGCGCGTCACCCGGAAGTGACGTCCCCTATCTATACCTTGTGGCTAATAGCCACTGATGGACCTCTGCTCCAGATGCTTATCCAATTCCCTTTTGAAGCCGTCCATGCTTGTAGCCGCCACCACTTCCTGTGGCAGTGAAGTACTTGCAAGTTCCGTGTGGCTCAATTTGTTTGAGCCTTTTTGCTATCCCCATTCCTCCTAAGGAAAATGCAGGTGGCCCTGAGCTGACATGTGAGTTGCCAGCCTCCAGTTGGGGCCTGGAGATCTCCTGGAATTACAACTGCTCTCCAATCTACAGAGATCAGTTCCCAGAGGAAAAAATGGCTGCTTTGGAGGGTGGACTCTCGAGCATCACGTCCCCGCTGAGTTTTCTTTCCTCTCCAAGCCCCACGCTCCTCAGCCTCCGCCCTCAAAGCCTCCGGGAATTTCCCAACCTGGAGTTGGCAACCCGACCAGACACCCACCTTTCTTTCCAAAACAGCAATGGCTCACCTTGCAGGGCGGGATGTTGAAGGCGTGGGTCCTCAAGTCCACGCGTTGCCATTGGTCGATGAAGGGGAGGAGCAAAACCAAGCCCGGCCCCTTGGGGGCTCGGATCCGCCCCAAGCGGAACACGATGACTCGCTCATAGGTTGGGACTGTCTGGAGAGGAGGGAGGAGAGCAAAGTTAAGGCAAGGCGTGAACTCAAAGGAGGCCTTACTTGTTAAACCGTTTATACCTAGGGCTGCCGACCTCCAGGTTGTTCACAATCTCTCTCGTCGGTCGTGACTGACGAGAGAGAGCGAGAGAGCGTGGGGGCACGTCGGCGCTGAAAGTTTAATTGCTTAGACTGGAGAAAATACCTGATCATAACGGCAGGCCTGATACTCTGCCAGTTTCCTTTACCGAAGACGGGATCTGACCGCCGGAACGTGGGAGGTCACCGGAAGCCACATTTAATTATTTATTTTTTCCCAATTTATATCCCGCCCTCCCCGAAGGCTCAGGGCGGCTCACAAGAGGCATAGAGGCCATGTTGAAACAGTACAACAGCATGAGAACAATATAAAATACACTATGTTCAATTCAATTAAAAATACGGTGCTCCAAAATTACTTGAATTCAAGATGGGATTCGAGAATTATTCTTCATACCAACACATCCCGTTTCTACTTTGAACACTTGTGCAGATTCTGTTTGTGCTTTGGACACGGTGCAGTTTGTGATTCACTTGACCCTGAAATACTGTTCTTGGACTTTCCCCCTTTTAAGGGTTTTTGTATGGTTCACTGACACAGGGGTAGGGCCACGTGGGGCCTGTGTCCGACAGGGCTTCTGACTGGCTGTGCAGATTAGGATAATTCAGGTCTCTTTTTGTAGCAGGAACTCCTTTGCATATTAGGCGACACACCTTTCATGTAGCCAATCCTCCAAGAGCTTACAGCACTCTTCTTACAGGGGCTACTGTAAGCTCTTGGAGGATCGGCTACATTAGGGGTGTGTCGCCTAATACGCAAAGGTGTTCCTGCTACAAAAAGAGCCCTGAAATATTAGAAACAATTATGACAATATCTATTTCGATGATAACATTCTTTCGTCTTCACTTTCGTAGCACGACATTTCACAGGGGACGTTCTTGTTTCTTGGTTTTAAACGCTGTGATCCCTCTGGCAATATTATTAACCTCCCGGTTGTCGCTGGAGATATCCCGTGGTTACGACCAGTGTTCCCTCTAAGCTGAGTTCGTGTGAGCTAGCTCACAGTTTTTTAGCCTCTGGCTCACAGATTTTTGTCTTAGCCTAGGAAGGATGGCTCCAGCGCAAACTAAGTTATGCAGTAGCCAAATTGCTCACTCACGACTTTAATTCCAGTAGCTCACAAAATAGATTTTTTTGCCCACAAAACTCCACAGCTTAGAGGGAGCATGGGTTACAACTGATCTCCGGGGCGACAGCGATCAGTTCCCCTGAAGAAAACAGAACGGAATTTGAGTCCGGTGGCAGCTTTGAGACCAACAGGGTAAGATTTTGTGTGCACAGCACACTTCACACAAAAACGGGAAATAAAACCTCAAAAGCGAGTTACAGGGAAAAAGAGGGTATGTGTGTAAGCCATTGGGAGAGGCCACTCAAAGCAGAAATTGGAATGAGCGGCTGCTGGTAGGATCAATAGATAGCAGCCAATTAGCTCGTACATTCAAGAGTTAACAAAGAGATGTGAGAACGAAGTTAAGAGTCCAGCGACACCCCCCAAGAAAAACCAAGTTCAACACTCCAAAGAGCTGGAATTACAGCTGATCTCCAGAGTAGTAGAAGAAGAGATTGGGTTTATACCCCGCCCTTCACTACCCAAAGGTTTCGCTACCCAAAGATGTCTCAGAGCGACTTACAAACACCTTTCCCTTCCCCTCCCCATGACAGACACCCTGTGAGGTGGGTGGGGCTGAAGGAGCGCTAGAAATTGCTGTTTTTCAAGTACAGCTCTGATAGGACTGTGGCTTGCCCAAAGTCATCCAGCAGGTACAAGTGGAGGAGTGGGGCCTTAAACCCGGTTCTCCCACATTAGAGTCCGCACACTTAACCGCTACACCAAACTGGCTCAGCTTCCCCTGGAGAAAATGGCTGCCTGAATTCTATGGCACCAAACCCTGCTGAAGTCCCTCCCCTCCCCAAACCCCGCCCTCCTCAGCCCCCGCCCCTCACATGTCCAGGTATTTCCCAACCTGGAGCTGGAAAGCCTATTTATCCCCCGCCTTTCCTCGTGGCTCAAGGTAGCTTTTTCGTTCTTCCTGCAGAATGGCAATTTCCAGATAAATACAAAGAGACCTGCCAGTTGCCAAATTATCAGAATTACAAAATCAACCGGGGAACCGTAATATGCAAATATAATTTAGCAAGTAAATGAATATCTTAAGTGCTACATACAAAATAGTTGCTTAAGTACATATAACAGATAAGAGAATCGTCAGTTGTATTGTATTATTAACGAAGCTGTCGACTTTTCTCTTCATTTCGATTCCAGGCTTCCTCAGAAGTAGATTCTCCCACTCAACAATTTACATTTACTGCATGGCGTTTCTTTTATTCTCCATACATTCTTTATGCTTGTCAAAATTTATATCATAACTAGGAAATGATAACCTTCATGTCCGGCTCCGATCCAATCTGCTTGCTCTATTCCAAGTTAGAATAGACTACTGATGAACCCCAGTTATTATTATTACTTATTTCATTTGCAAAACTTATACCCCGCTTTTCTGCCCTTACAAGGGCCGCCAAAGGTGACTAACAATTTAAAGCGTGCAAGCTAAAATTTAAATTTTTTATTTATTATTAGATTTATACCCCGCCTTCCCTAACGGGCTCAGGGCGGCTACAACAGAGGCAATTGCCATAACAACGGCTAAAACAACATAAAAACAATAATTAAACAGTATAAAACAGTCATTAAGTAAAGTGCGGTGCTCTTGATGTTAAATTTTCTTAATCCAAGATGAATTCCATTCATCAACCTAACCTGACAACAAGCATTCTTCGGTTAACTAGGCGTTTGTGACCATTAAAATCAACCTCCCGTCCCAAAAGTACACATCACTGAAACAATTTTTAGAAAAGTTTAAAACAGAGTTTAAATCAGGGTTTCCAACCTCCCGAGCCACAGTCTGGCCACGCCTGGCTTAGAAGGAGCATTGAATATCAGTGCTGGTTTCTGTCCATGATCTGGAGGTCAACCCAGGTTCAGGCACAGGCCGGAAACAGAGGCAGCTCTAAAGCCAGCCACCGGTCTCTGCATCGCCCCTTGAAATGTCTTTTCGACCTCTGTCCGTCCGCCACCTCTTACCTTCAGAACGAACCAGCCGGAAATCGGGAAGGTGAGGATGGTCAGCAGAAACACCAAGGCGATGACCGCCTGGTGGCAGAGCTGTGAGAAGAACCCTTGAGGTGCACCTGAAAGAGATGGGAAGTAAAGAGAGAGCGGGGGTGGCCCCCAAACCGCCATTCTCAGCATCGCAAAGCCCCCCCCCCCGCAACCCACCATAAAAGATAGCATCACTACAATTGATCGACCAGGTCACTAATGCTTCCCTCATTACACACAGAGGGATTCAAATGTGGAATTAGCCATGGTGGCTGAAGAGAACCTCCACGTTCAGAGACAGACAATTTCTGAATCCCAGCACCAGAAGACAACATCAGGGGAAGGCCTCGGCATCTCTGCCCTGTTGTTGGCCCTCCAGAGGAACTGGTTGGCCGCTGTGTGAGACAGGATGCTGGAGTAGATGGACCATTGGTCGGATCCAGCAGGGCTCTTCTGATGTTCTTATGAAGGCCTTGGCCTCTAAGCCCTGTTGTTGGCACTCTGTGGAACTGGTTGGCCACTGTGTGAGACAGGATGCTGGAGTAGATGGACCATTGGTCGGATCCAGCAGGGCTCTTCTGATGTTCTTATGAAGGCCTTGGCCTCTAAGCCCTGTTGTTGGCACTCTGTGGAACTGGTTGGCCACTGTGTGAGACAGGATGCTGGAGTAGATGGACCATTGGTCGGATCCAGCAGGGCTCTTCTGATGTTCTTATGAAGGCCTTGGCCTCTAAGCCCTGTTGTTGGCACTCTGTGGAACTGGTTGGCCACTGTGTGAGACAGGATGCTGGAGTAGATGGACCATTGGTCGGATCCAGCAGGGCTCTTCTGATGTTCTTATGAAGGCCTTGGCCTCTAAGCCCTGTTGTTGGCACTCTGTGGAACTGGTTGGCCACTGTGTGAGACAGGATGCTGGAGTAGATGGACCATTGGTCGGATCCAGCAGGGCTCTTCTGGTGTTCTTAGCAGGGGAGGCCTCAGCTGCTATGCCATGTTGTTGGCCCTCCAGAGGAACTAGCTGGCCACTTTGTGAGACAGAATGCTGGACTAGATGGACCACTGGTTGGGTCCAGCAGAGATCGTCATATATTCTTATGAGAAGAAGAGGAGATTGGATTTATACCCCACCCTTCACTACCACTATCTCTCGGAGTGGCTTACAATCTCCTTCCCCTTCCCCTCCCCACAACAGGCACCCTGTGAGGTGGGTGGGGCTGAGAGAGCTCTTTCGAGAACTGCCCTTGATAGAACAGCTCTGACAGCCCTTGTGACTGACCCAGGGCCACACCTGCAGCTGCATGTGGAGGGAGTCAAACCCGGCTCTCCCAGATTAGAGTCCACTACACCAAACTGGCTCTCAAGCCACCAGACTCCATTGCCACTATGACAGCATATGGGGAACAAGTTACCCGAAATTCTCCTGCCTGTCATTTCAACAGAAAATCTTGTTATTGCTGGTCTTGGTTTTTTTTGAGCGTTCGGGGTAGTGATACCTGGCCAGTTATGAATCACCACAGTGCTTTTGTTGAGCATAATCCATTGCCAACTCCGCAAGCCGCCTGTCTTTGTTCCACCCCCGAATGCGTGCTGTTAGAAGTCGGTCCCGTCAGCGGGTAAAAACCATGACAGGGTATTATAATAAATCCGTTATGTATTGGGATGGGACGGCCCACTCTCAGTGCATCATTTAGGGATAACCAGAGGTTAGAAGGAAAGGAACCAGTTGTGGCGGAGCGGTCCCACTAAACTCCCAGAGAGCCGGCGCTCTGTAGAACGCAAGGTCATAGAACCCACAAAACGTGTCGGCCGGACAACTCAACCGAGACAGAAGCCTTCAGAGTTCCATTTAATCAAGTTCCGAAGGACAGACGTTGACGCCACCTCCAATGAAGAACACGCTTACTCCCGTCTCCGGAAGATCCCTCCTATGTCCTTTAAAACTCCATACATGAAGAAACAAAGTGAAGCTAGACACACGCAAAAAAAGCCTCGACCACGCTTACCGTACACATGGGCTACAGCTCGCTAGAACAGCTGTTGGCGGTACAGAGGGAATAATTCCACCAACACCTGTTTCCTCGGCAATGACGGCTAATCTGTTGCCCTGACCACGACACATCCCAACCCCCCTCGGCCCTAAGTACAGACTCTTTGGTGGTGGCACCCATTTCAACAGCCCTAAAGCAGACTCGTTTGCGGGGCCGTGCAGAGGGGACATCCCTCTGAATTGGAAAAGTAAAAGGTAAAGGTTCCCTTGCTCGAAAGCCAGTCGAATCCGACTCTAGGGTTGCGATGCTCATCTCAGTTTCAAAGCCGAAGAGCCAGCGCTGTCTGAAGACATTTCCGTTGTCATGTGGCCGGCATGACTAACCAAGGCGCACGGCACGAATACAGGAAGACAAAAACCAGCCCTGTGTCTGTCTATCTAGTCCTAGATTGGGTCGAGTGGCACATTTAAGACCCCCTCCCCGCTCGAAAGCTGCCCGAGGCTTCCGCTTTTCGCCCACCATTTAAAAAAAAAAAAAAGCATTGCCGGTGTGCGCATAGGCAGAAGTCTGCCACCGCCTTATTAAAAAAACAATGTTTAAACAGTGCCTAGTTTTAGCGTTGAGACGAGTTCAGGATCTCACGGAGGCCATTTTCGGGGTAAACGTTTAAAGAGAAGGGTTCCTTTAAAATTTAAAGGGAAGTGTTACGGCAGCGAAAATGTGCACAGGCCCAAACTGAGAGAGAGGGAAAAACCAACACCCACGCACGCTCCCACGTGTGGACGACGGGGAGCAATGTGGCTGTGCAGCGATCCAGAGCAAGGAGGTGAGTGTGATCGCGATTCTCCAGGTTAAAAAAAACAACGCATCGGGGCCGGAGGAATTTAAACCGCTCCCAGCACGCCGTCTGACTGCACCCTATACGTATCTTATTTATTAATTAATAGTATTATGCTTTTAATTGTTTACATTATTGTATATTGATTGTTTATCATTATTGTTGCAATCCGCCCTGAGCCCTGGTGTGCAGGGGAGGGTGGACTAGAAATCCAATAAAATAATTAAAAAAAAATCTTCTGGTCTTGGTGGCCAAGATTCCTTAAGCTGGTGTCGGAGAGACTGAATGTCCCAGCGAATGGCAGGGATGGAACAACTTGAGGTTTCCCCCCACTCTGTGTCAAATGATCTTGGTGTGATGGTGGTAGAGAGTGCTGTCTAGTGTACTGGCCCCACTGATGGCACTTGGTATTTTTGGCCACTGTGTGACAGAGTGTTGGACTGGATGGGCCATTGGCCTGATCCAACATTGGCTTCTCTTATGTGTGTCTCTTATGTTCTTATCAGGGCTATTTTTGGGCAGGAACGCACAGGAACGGAGTTCCGGCTGGCTCCCAAGTTGGCCACGCCCAGCAGGAACTCATTAGCATAATAGGCCACACCCAACAGCAGGAACTCATTAGGATTGGCTACATTAGGGGTGTGTGGCCTAACATGCAAAGAAGTTCCTGCTACAAAAAAAGAGGCCCTGGGTTTTGACAACAAACAAGGTAAAGAGAATAAGAAGCAAAAGGTGGGTGTGGCTGGATAACCACACTTCTGGTAACATGGGGGTGGGGCCTAATGTGCTAATGAGCTGTGCTGGCAGGGGTGTGGCCAAATAGGCTAATGGGTTCCTGCTGTTGGGTGTGGCCCATTATGCTAATGAGTTCCTGCTGGGCTTTTTCTATAAAAAGAGCCCTGGTTCTTATCAAGTCACAGTCAACTTATGGCAACCCCAGTGGTATTCTGAAGGCATGAGACATTTCAGAGGTGGTTTGCCATTGCCCGCCTCTGTGTCACGACCCTGGTATTCCTTGGTGTTCTCCCATTCAAATACTAGCCAAGGCCGACCCTGCTTAGCTTCCAAGAGATAACAAGAGCAGGCTAGCCGGGGCTGTCCAAGTAGAGGCCTTGGTTTGGTAAAAAGGTAAAGGTAAAGGTTCCCTTGCTCGAAAGCCAGTTGAGTCCGACTCTAGGGTCACGGTGCTCATCTCCGTTTCCAAGCCGAAGAGCCAGCGCTGTCCAAAGACGTTTCTGTGGTCCTGTGACCGGCATGACTAAACACCGAGGCGCACGGAACACTGTGACCTTCCCACCGAAGTGGT